CCCCAAAACCCCAAAACCCCAAAACCCCAAAACCCCTCCTAAAATTTAGTAAATAGAATTTGAAATTTAAATAATCCCAGATTTTTGGCAAAGATGGACTCTATCAAAAAGAACGTTCACAAGTTCCTACAGACATTACTTTGCACTAGGAGGAAGAAAGCAGAGATGGACTGTAATGTATTCGATCGAGGTAAGGTCATTTATGCCTAACTTTCCCTAACTTCTCTCTAGAAGACATTGAGGAGTGTGCCATTGATGCACTCTCTGACGACCTCTCAAATAGCCTCAGCTATAAAGACTGTGAAAGTGACTGAGTTCAATGCGAAGCTAACGAAGAACTTGACGAGAAAGTGTACCCCACAGTTAAGCCCATCGATATCTCAGAGGAGAATAAGAAGGAAGTTCAGAAGGAATTAGGTAAGTTTTACAAAAATTTTGTCTATTTTGAGGTTTGAATGGTCTTTTTAGAGCATAAATAAAGAAAATATTTGGTCTAAGAGGAATACTGTCGGAAATAAAGCGGGAAATTCTTCAAAAAGGATTACTCTTGCACAGATAGAGGATGCTGTGAATCGGCAAATAGACAATCTTGATCACGATGATGGTGCCAGGTCTCCTGCTAAGGAGGAATCCAAGATTGAGAAAGCAGAGGAGAGTCCTGCTCAAGACATTACAGCTAGCTACGTCAAAAGGGTTTCTGAACATCCCAGGAATAGGTTGAACAAGATGTGGAGCCGTGAGAATGGGGATAAAGGGAAATCTCTCGAACTGATAAAAAGACGCAGGATTTATACAAACTTTTCAGTAAAGAACATCAAGCTATCTAAGCAGTATTGGAAAGAGCTCATTGGGTTGAAAATTAACAAAAATATTCCTTTCGTTGAATACATTCCTGATGAACATAGCTTCAAGACTAAGCCGAAGTACTTGGAGTACATCAAGGAATTCTTTACTGAAAAATCAAAGGAGATAGGTATAGCTGAGAAGGTAATTGATGTGCCTGGATTCTACTCGATCACAAGCATGTCTCTGAAGAACTTCTTGAACAATAGCTACTATAATGAGGAGATTATCAACTCCTTGTTGGAGATATATCAAGGGCAAGCTCGCAAAGAGGGGTTTTTGGTCTTTAACACCTTCTCTTACCATTCAATCGAGAAGTTATAGTAGAGTCAAAGGTTTTTGATGACAAGCTGATTAAAGAAGAAGACATCACTAGTATCAAGGGCATAATCTTCCCAATCATGCTGGGGTACCCTTACTGTGAGGTTATATGCGTTTTAGCTAGGCCGAATATGTCTCATGTCGAGCTGGTCCACCATAATAGCACTGTTTTTGGGGACAAGGAGAACCCTAAAGCTGATGAGATCATGGAAACGATCCTTCACTATATTGAAGGCTATATTATCATCCCAAATACTCAAGATGTCCATGAAGTCACTGACTCTAGGGTAACTGCTTGCTTAATTGTATAGATCAAACGGAAAGTTCCTCAATGGAAAAGAAGCGTCAAGTCTCTCAAAAGAGTAAAATACAGAGCTAAAAAGATTGAAGGAAAAGGCATGTACCAGAAGATAGCAATTAAGGATGATACACCTCCTCAAATAGATAAGGATAAAAGTGGAAAGATGATAGCTAATTTCATCATCAGAATGTGATCTAAGAGATATATGGCAGATGATCAAACTCTGAAAAATATGGCATTTTTAGAACTTCTTTTTGGAGATCCCATCCTATAAATTCTGGTCTAAGAGTTTTAATTCAATTATAAATTAGTTTGTAGGGGTTTTGGGGTTTTGGGGTTTTGGGGTTTTGGGG